GGAACATACACCTTCGTTTCGTTCGATGGCCCAGTTCGGCATGATCGACGGTGGCACACCCATCCGTTGTGGTGCTCATCGTTTTGGGACTCATAGATCCTTGACAAAGAAGGCACAATGGCAACGCCAGCAGCCCCATGGATCGCAGCCACTAATGTATATCCAGATGATCCATTTGCATCTTCTCGTACACGCCCTTCAACGGAAAATCGAGGAGTTCTTACTGGCGATGGCGCCTTCTCAGAGCATTGAAAGCCATCGCAACACACGTTCACAAGTTGTGAAATGAAATAGTGATGTTCGTCTCATCAGGGGTTTGCTTTAGCCATGGGAAAGCGCCTCGGGTCACATCGTCTCCCCCTCAACCTGCATGCCTTGTCGTCGCGCCAAATAGCCTCAGCGCGTAAAATGGATGTTATATTCGTTATCAGGACCTTAAATAACCCCTAAACGCAAGCTTTCAGCAAATTTGGTGAAGTTCCCTTTCCCAAATAGGCGCTAGCGCCAAAAATGAAGGTCATATTCGTTATCAGGGCATCGGATTACCCCTATAGGCGAAGTTTCGTAGAAAATTAAAATTTTGAGTTGTTGGGGGTGTAATAGTAGAATAGTACCCTTTCTTTTTCTTATCTTCCTCGAATATTCTTTCTACTTACATGAGTAGCCTCCAATCGCTCTTTTTTTCTAGTAGACTCCTTCTTTCGTTCTTCTTCATCAGATTCCTGTACTGTTGCGGATTTCTTAAAGGATTCTCACAATTTTCTCTTCGCCATTTTTCTTTTTGCTTTTGGCGTTTGCACTACTGCCGTTGCATCGCTCTCAGCTCATTCAATAGGAGAAAATCCCTCACTTTTGCTGTGGCTGACTCTTCTACTTTCCCGCTGACTGATTTCCTTCTTCCAGCACCATCCTCGTCCTGCATTGTTATATATCTCTGCAAAAACAACTGGATTCTCTATTTCCCCTTTCCCTGCTGCATTTACACATTCTATTCTTCAGCACATTTTGAGGAAGGAGGTATTTTCTTACGCGTGTGGTCACTGATGTTTCCTCCTTCTTAATAGACCTCTTCTTCCCATCATCACCATCGGATTCTTGCATTGTTGCAGATTTCTTCAATTTCTCAATTTCTCCTTTTCTACTTTTGCTTTTATATTTATAGTTTATACTCTTGTATGCATTCCAGATGTATTGAATAAGCAATTATTTCTCACAGTCACTGTTCCCGATTCGTCTCCTTTCCCAGTGGACGACTTCCTACCTTCTGCACCATTTTCATCGTGCATTATTACATACCTCTGCGAAAAGAGATGGAGTAGCTCCCTTCTTTTTCTGTTTCTGTGCATACTAAACTACTATCCCAGTATAGTGGACTAATTAAACGAAATCCCTACATTTGTCGTCTCTGACCTCTCTTCTTTCCTGGTGGACCATTTCTTTCTTCCACTTGCATCGGAATCCTGCCTATAAAGTTTTCCATGAGGTTTCATGTGTGTTGTGTGTGTTGTGTGTGAATGTGTGCGTGTGTTGTGAAAGTGTGAATTTTGCTTTTTGGTGGGTCACTGATTGACTGACATGGACTGATTGCATTTGTTAGGAGTTGAAAAGGAGCCTTAGAGAGGGAGGGCCGTAATAGTTTTTACGTCTTTGACACTAACAATAAAAGTGGAATCCCATCATTTCGGTGCGCAATATGGAATACGACGGATTATATGATGCTTGGTTCGAGAAATGACAATAGTTGATAGCGGATGGTGGACCATAGACGGCGAGAGCCGTTGAGCTGAGCCTGATACGCTCGACAATGGAACTCTGGCACTCTGGTGTGTGATTGTCGGAATTTTTGATGGTGGCGGCTCATTCTTTTTACAACAGATACATTCTAATACGGACTATGAGAGGCGAGAGGCGATTGGCCTGTGGTGTCTACAATAAAACGGTAGCACCAATAATCAGCGAATTCCGAAAACGGCGACAAAAACAATTATCGGAACGACGGGAGAAAGAAGAGCGAACCAGAGTGGGATAGTGGATTGTCCTTGCACGAGGTGGCCGACCGTCTCATCACGTTGTACGTGTGAGTGCTGGTAAGCTATGGCATATAAGCCATTAAGAAAGCCAGGGCGAGCGGGGTTTCGCTAGTGCAAGTGATAGAGCACGGTGCCCGGAAAGCACAAGAACTGGTTAGTTACTCCCGTCCCAGACTGAAGTTTTGTTCATATATCGCCAACCTTGTGAGACTTTCGCAACGCGTACTGCGGCGATAAAACAGCAGATAATAGAACATCAAGTCAAAACATGACGTAACAGAGTTCCGGGCTGTTTTGGGACTGGCGGAAAAGTGTATAAGTATCCTGCAATTCATTATGTCTGAGGTAGCGCACTTCGATGCAAAGAGTAGGTGACGAAATCCACCCAATTCCGAGAGCCTTCTAAGGAATACCGATACGTTGAAGCACACGAGATAGAATGCCTCATTGCACAACCATACTAAGAGACACTGGGAAGCTTAACACAGCCAACAGACATAAAACTTGCCAATGCGTCTTTGCTCAAACATTTTCGAATACTTGAACTACTTTATGAGACCTAACCTCCTCAGATGGGAAGAGATACAAACAAGAAAAGCATTTTGCCAAAAGTTTCATCAGTGGTGAAGAGGACTTAGATTGAGGTTATTTTTTGAAACATTATCTGAACCTGAAACCGATTTCGTCAACGCCAGCAAAAATACCCGTCTTCTATGGACCTGACAGTGACAGAAGTTACTAGCAATAGGCGTTGATAGAAACGAATTCGATAGTTCCGAAATAAACCCTTTCTGAAGAATGGGCACGACATACCAGTATTCTTTACAGAATTGAGGAACTAACCCATCTACCGCCCTTTGGAGGGTGTCCACCACCAAAGCATCCCATGCTTTACTACATTCCGAAAAGGGCGCGCAAATCAGACTAGAGCTCAGGTATCATTTTAGCTTCCAGACTGATTTGCGCTCGAGACTACTTCGACTGCCTGACTTTTCATACAGCTTCTGAAAGCCGTGCGTCATCATGTGTGCGTAAACTCTGTATGATACTTTTTCATTACACTAGCTATCACTCACCCATCCTTTATATGCAGACAACAGTGTAGCACAATTACCACTAACAGAATGTACCTGCGCTACAGCCTGGTACTGCTTCACGATTTCGGCTGGAATGCAAAGGAAGCCCATAACAAACTGGTGGATACAGAGAGCGAGGACGTCTTCTCCTACCGCACATGCAAGTCTTGAATCGCAAAATCCAAGAAAGATGACTTTTCTCTCGAAGATGCGCCTAGTTCGGATCGCCCGATGGATTTGAACTTGGGAGTACTACGTTTCACCGTGGAGGAGGACTCGCAGCTAAACACCGAGAAAATGGCGACCATGCTCGGCTATAATCAATAGACGATTGTAAGTGGACTGGTAACAAAGCGAAGGTTGCAAAGCGTTGTCAATTGGTTTCACATGAGCTGTCCGCTTATGACCTCTCGAAGAGGGTGGCCACCTGCACTTCTTTCCTTTCTTTCCGAAGGGAGCTCCGCTTTCTCAACTCGGTGTTCACTGGAAATGGGAAGTGTGTTCATTCCTATTAGGTTGTTCGGAAAGGAATGCGCGTTGAATTCGTCCATTCATTTCTCCCCTACTAAAGAAGATTTTCCAGAACAGTTCTATCTATTAGGAAGAAATTTTCATTGCGCATCTTTTGATATATTTTTTGTCTATGTCTACTTTGTTTTTTCCGAGAAAAAAAGTTTAAAAGGCGCTTGACCAGAAATTCCTTTTGCGGGCTTGCATGTGGTACAAGTTCAAGCGAGAAAAATCGGCTGCTGAACATTTGCTGGCAATTGGCAAGACGAACAGGAGCGGAAAATGGGTATCGCATCAGCTGAGGGAACCAACAAACCAGGCAACACAAGTGGCGATGGTCGAAATTCTTCTTCATTACTTCAAGAACAGCGGTTTTTTCAACTCTAATATTACATCAGGCGGGAAATGGATCTGCTTCGACAACACAACACGAAAAAGACAGTGGTTAGACGACGGTGACACTCCAAAATCCACTCCGAAACCGGATATACACGGCAGAAAGGTGATGCTACTATGTGTTTGGTGGAACAGCAAAGGTTGAGTGTAGTTTAATGTCCCGAAATCGAGTCAAACGGTCACAGTGGACATTTACAAAGATCAATTAGACCGGATCAAACACTGCGTCGTCAAGGTGTCGAAACGTCGTCGACGAAATTCCTCCTCGACAACGCTCAACCACATGTTGCGAAATCCACCTTGGAAAAAAATTTAGGAATAGGGGTTGGGAATTCCTGCCTCATCCACCTTACAGCCCAGACCTGACTCATCCGATGATCATCTGTTCCGGTCCTTGGCCGAGAGAAAATTCAAAAACCGCGAAAAAGCCCAACTCAGGGTGTCCAACTACTTTGAGTCGCAGCCGGCCGAGTACTTCAGAAGAAGAATCCATACTTTGCGTAAACGTAGGCAACAAGGCATTGATAGTAATGGAGAAAATCTTTTCAATTGGTCTTGTTTAGTTTCGTTTATATAATAAAAAGTTTTTTGAACTCAAACGCGCATTCCTTTCCGAACAATCTAATATAATCCTGTGAGGAAATGGCAGTGGGTCGACAAAGGAGAACAGTCAGAAGCCATCCCAAATACCAACCTTCGCCCCAAGAAGGTTTTCCTGTCCTGTTGGTGGTTCAGAAAAGGCATGGAACACTGGAAGCTGCTGGGGAAGGTAGAAACGATCAATGCTCACACATACGTTACCCAGCAGCGGAAATGGAAAGATCATGTCGACCGTGCTCGTGGATGAATGCGGAAATCTACTTCCGCCATGGCGCCTAGCCCCCCCTCCCCCCTACGCCACTGATTTCGCTCCTTTCGACTATTGGCTGTTCAACCACCTGGCCGCTTTCTGGAGGGAAGAACTTCGAAACAGAAGACCATGTCAGAAAGGCACATGACGAATTCTTCAAGAACCAGGGGAGATTGAGATATTTACAAAAAAGGCGGGGAAAGAATTTTTGCATCAACCTAATACATCAGATTGTTTATTTTTCGGCAGTACTACAATATGAGTTAAAAGGGCATGCATTGCTATAAAATGGTGGAACTAAATATGCGTTCCATGAGAGCTTCGCTTCATTTCTTCGTCTTGAAATCTTCACCTTGTTTGTTCAGAATTTAAAAGCCCCGTGGTTTAGCATTTCTGTACTGACAATAAGAAAAAAATTCTTGTACCCGCATGGATCCAACCAAGGGTAAACACTTCCAGCAGGGTTGTAACACTGCATCATAGTGGCTTTCGTTACACGGGAACTGTGATGGGAGCCTCATTATTATTTGTAGTCTAATATAGGAGCAGCCCCTTCGCCGAAAATTCAAAATCTCAGAACGGTAGATGATCCAGTAGGTGTTGCTGTGTTGTATGAAAACTCAAGCTTTCCAACTTATGCTTTTTTGCTTCCAAACTTGAAGCAGCTGAATATTTTGAAAAGTGGTGCTTCATTTCACTTTGGTTTTTTTCGTCTCTAGCGACAGTTTGCGAATGTCTACACAGCCAGTGCCTTCGGAATACCATTCTTCTATGAACGCTGCACTAAGTTAGTAAGTAAAATAAGGAAGTTAGTCGTGAAATTTGAGAATTCTCTTCGAAACTCAACGACACTAAATGAATGTTAAATACAGCTATTGGAAATTAGGAAAAAATTCGTGCAATTGGACACACTCACGGCCTCTCAGGTCTTGGAGAGCCAGTGCTCTTCCTGAACGTACCCATTTCTTTCTCGTTGAAAATTCTACTTTCTTGCTTATTCTGAAGTACTGTAGTTTAGGCATGATTATATTCAGAAGAACTTTTCCATTACAAAATTCTGCACCGAATTGTTTTGGGCAATCTCGAGGGCTTGGGAACCCAAAAGCAGGAGATTACCGAAAATGCTACCAAACACGAGTTTTTTTTGATAGTGAGCATGCAGAGTTAAGGACAAAGAATTAATGTTCCTTCATGGCAAAACGGTTTTTTTTTCACCAGACTCTTTTGATTTATATACAGAGGGAGAAGAAGAAGATACCAAGTTCATGAGCGCAAAATCTGCAGGAAGTCAGAGCTTGCAGCGAGTGTGTCTCATATGGAAGCGATGATGATCATGATCACGCTCAACCTAACCAATTTGGACACAATTTCACCCTTTTGTTGTTATGAAAGGTTGAGGCAAATCCTAGCGAACCTTAGAAGCTGAAGTGTTGACCCGTTCAAAAGCAACATTTTTTATAGCAGTTGACTGTATCATACAGATTTTCATTTTAATTGACGACATCACCAACCTTTGTCTGAAGCAAATCTTTGATTCTATCAACCAATCTGCAAGGCTCAACAAACAGAAGCAGAGCGAGTAGTAGCTTCAAGTCGTAGTACAGTGGCATTTTTTCGAGGGATTTATCACAAACAGTGAGAATTCCAAAGAGTGACCTGGAATAGTTTTCACTGTCACTCATCTCATAATTTCAAAAAAAAAACTAGACCGCAGTAATAAATAGAATTGGTTTCGAAAAGAATCACCGTCAGCTTTCGGATGATTTCAAAAGGAACTATCTACAGGGAAAGCAATGAATGAATGCTTCCCAACTGAAGGTGCCGTCTAGATAACAAGTTTTTTTCTTGATTTATCGTTGAATCTATTCCTGACTTACATTCCCTTTGCTTGAAATAATTGGTTGGAAAGCAATCTCATCCCAACCGATAAAAGCGGTGGATGTGCACCACGACCGTGTATTTCGGTCTTGGACTAGACATCTGAGGAAGTCCAAAATGTGCACTTTCCAGTAATGGCGTTCATTCTTTTTATGCTTGGGATGAGGAAAAATATGTACTTATTAGATGCTCGTACAAAAGAAATGAATCGCGAAAAATCTTGTTTGACTGGAAACTCATGACTCATATTCTCTTGAGAGTAGAACGGCTGAATTCGGTGGGAGAACAGGCGGGAGGATGGGAACGCAAATAATAGGTGGCAGAACAGAACTGCTCCCTGGGTGATTAGATCCCTGGATATTCTCTCGTTGACCCTGAGCATTCGAACCCGGATGGGCTACAGGCGACAGAATGAAAACGCTGATGGTATGCGGCAGGACTAAAGGCGAATCTTGCGCAAAATGAGCGTGATTTGAGTGAAACCACGCACTCGAGTTGGATTGAGTGAGGGGTGAGTGGAGTTATCGGAACACAATGATTTGGGAACGAACCCAAATATGGAGACGTGCTCACCAATCGTGTTGGAACATGTGTGTGACTTTGGTCGGAAATTCATAACTCTAGTTCTCTTGTACAGTGCGTTTCATAATTATAAGGTCACCCCAGATTTTTGCGATTCTGGAGAAAGCAGCCGGAATGGAATTTTTGGCAAACACCGGTAGATTCCACGTCACAAAGTACCTCCGTACTCAAATTTTGGTCGCAATATCCTTCACCTCGAATTTTTTACGAATTTTTTAAAGATAGTGTCGGGTTTTGCACCGTTTCATAATTATAATTTCACCCTGAGAAAGTAAATGATTTATTAATGTTGATGGCATAAGTACAGCAGTTAATAATCTATAGCTCCTCCTTGTTTAGAGCAATATCAAAGAGCCTTCGTGGCATACTAGAAACTAGGTTTCGAAGAGTTCCTCATCGACTGCTCTCAATGCTTCGATAATCGCCCGGTTCAGCTCTTCTATTCCCTGGAACTGACGGTTATTCGCAGAAACCTGTCTGACTATTATGCCCCAGATATGTTCCATTGGATTGAGAACGGGACTGCAGGCTGGCCGTGGCAGGATGCTTATTTATTGGCATTGCAGCCACTCATCCGTTGCACGACTCACACGAATGGAGGC